AACTTCATCAGTTGAGATGACTGGGACATGTGTTGCGCATGCCCAACCACCGTCTGCTTCGACCTGAGATGTTTTATGGTGTAGGAGTAGGTTGGAAGAAAACTAGGGGCGGCCAGACCACGGCACAAACCCATGAAGTCACTGACAAGTGGACTGAACCATGCTGGTAGGTGTAGACTACCTTGTTGGTATCTGTGAGAGGATAGCAACCGATATTTAGAAACCTTGAATGACATGGATCAAAATCGTTTACAATGGTGTGCGCAGGTGCATTCACTCTTTGTGTTCTCCCAAATTATAATCTTCTGAATTTTTCATGTCCCTTTCCTTTTTCTCTTCCCAAATTTAATTCACTGAATTACACTACTTGAATAACATGTTCAAACCCTAATCTATTCGACTACTGCATATACTCATACTAGCACTACCACTACGGAATTTGAATCGACAATTGCATCTCTGTGCTAATGTGATATGGCAACTCGAACTGATGTAGGTACGTACGAAGTTCTACATTGTTGCTGACTGACTGACTGACTGACTGACTGACTGGGAATGATATATTCATTTATGTTGTACTTTTGAATACAATTTTGTTTATTTACTATAATAAAATTAAATCCTTACATGTATATAGAGGATAAAAAAAAGTACTGAAGTGTATTATTGCCTGAAATGAACATAACAACATTGTTTTTCCAATATACTTCTAATGAATTCTGATGTGATTTTCATCATTACTTCTGTGGATAATCTATACTTATCATTATTCTCTCAACAATTAAATAATGATTTTCAATAGTTGACATCATGAGTCAATTGAAGCTAAACTACCATGGAGAACGTGAAAGCACTGGATGGCCGTTTCACCCTACTGTGGGACTCCTCCGTGGCAATGTGCATCCACTATCTCACCCCCCTCCGCGAGATTCGAACCTAAGACCTATCAGTCTTGCACACGATTGCTTAACCACTAATAAATAATGGAATATCATTTCTGCATATACATACTTGAAATGGAATGTTCAATGTGAAGATATCATTATATAAGAAGTGTTTATTGACGGCAATATTAGACGAACAAGTGAGATGATTTTCAAAAAAAAAATGTTGGAATGAACTCTATGCTGAAAGTGTAATTGTGCTGATCATTTTACGGTTCAGTAACGATACATGATAATGAATGAAATGCTGAGACATGTGACTATAAAGCATCTACTTAGTTGATAGACCAGTCGGTTTCCAATCTCCAATCTTAATCGTAACCCTTCATACTCAATAAGCATAAGACATAATTGTGACTCAGAGAGTACATTAAACCTGTTTGACAACACTTTAACCAGTAACACCTTCTAATATGAATCATACTCATCAAGTGAAATCAAAATACAGAAACAAGGAGATTTAAAGATATATTTAATAAGCTATCACTATATCGAGGATCATCTGATCTAATCTAATTAGCGATTACAAGAGATATTGAACATTACGTTCTCACTCGTAATCTGGTGCGGATGCATGAATGAGCACTTTCAGCTAAGTGAGTCCATTGAAACTAATGTGATCAATATCCAATGTCGAAAACTTACAGATCTATTGATTTAAGGGATTTATTTACCGTTACACCCTAATCATTGAACGTTTTGAAAGTCATTCAAGATATAAAAGTGTCACTTAAATGTTAGGAGAAAGAGTAAAGTCAAATAATTTCAACTTTTAAACATGTTAATTACTTTTTTTCGTTAACTAACTAAACACAGGCTCTTCTATCGCATACGCAACAACAAATGCAGGAGAAGACAACCAGTGTAGCTGCAGCCTCAGCAGCAATAGGTCTCAATATACACAAAGAGAAAAGCAAGATTCTTCGATACACACAGCATGTACCAATCCAATCACAATTGACGGAGAAGCTTTGGAAGATGTAAAAACCATTACATATTTGGGCAGTATCATCGATGAACACGGTGGATCTGATGCAGATGTGAAGGCACGGATTGGCAAAGCAAGAGCAGCATATTTACAACTGAAGAATATCTGGAACTCAAAACCACTATCTGTCAACCAACACCAAAGTCAGAATTTTCAATACAAATGTGAAGACAGTTCTACTGTATGGGGCGGAAACCTGGAAAACTACGAAATCCATCGTCCAAAAGATACAGGTGTTTATTAACAGTTGTCTACGCAAAATACTTCAGATCCGCTGGCCGGACACTATAAGCAACAACCTACTGTGGGAGAGAACAAATCAGATCCCAGTGGAGGAAGAAATCAGGAAGAAGCGGATGGGAAGTGGATAGGACACACATTGAGGAAAGCACCGAACTGCGTCACAAGACAAGCCCTCACATGGAATCCTCAAGGTCGAAGGAGGAGAGGAAGACCAAAGAATACATTACGCCGAGAAATGGAGACAGACATGAGAAAAATGAACAAGAGATTGATGGAACTAGAAAAGAATGTCCAGAACAGATTGGGTTGGAGGATACTGGTCGGCGGCCTATGCTCCATTGGGAGTGACAGGCGTAAGTAAGTAAGTAAGTAAGTAATCTAACCCTTGAACTACAATTGTATGAACAGTAACATTTAAAGTGAGCAAGAACAAAAGTTGGTGCAGAAGAATAATATGAATTCATTTTATTTCGTTAGGTTTTCATTAGCTGCTTACAAAGCGTAAAATATTTGAAATTCAATGTTATTAAAGATATTGACATACTCTTATACATCAGAGGGTGATGAAGGATGAATATAAGTAAAATAATGTAGGAAAGATGCCGTTAGAGTTAATGAGCCTACATCCGATTCAAAAAACATATCGCGAAGGGTTTGAGGTCAAACGGACTAAAAGCATTCAGCAGCGCTATCGCAAGACATCTCCTTGACGCAGGACACGAAGTCGATACAATGAAATCCTTCAAGGTGATCAACAAACAATCAAATTCAAACTTTCTGAAATTTGCCGAAGCGATAACAATCAAACGTTTAAAACCAGATCTTTGTATACAAAAATAAACAGTAATAAATCTTTCTTTACCCTGGTAACATTAACCCCCCCCTTTTATTTATTACGTTATTCCAACTCTTTCTGAATTTCATAATTACATCATTTATAACTGACCAATTTCATTTCATATCTCTCTTTATTACCATTAATTTATTTTCAGTGTTACTTCATTACATAATCATCTAATGTGTTTGCTTTTCAATTCCATCAGTTCTAATCACTATTTCTATGTTATGAAACCTTCCCTCCCTGGAAACAAAAAGTTTTATAACCTTATTAAATCTAACGGAATCTTTACTACATCATGATACACACATAGATTCATCCTTCATCACCCTGTGATGTATAAGTATGGTAATATCTGTAATAACATTGAATTTCAAATATTTTAGGTTGTAAGTAGCTGATAAGAACCTAACGAAATAAAATGAATCCATATTATTATTCTACACCAATCTTTGTTCTTACTCTCTTTAAAATAATAGAAGGGAACTATATGCATGAAACGTTTAAAGTGTTGAAATTACCCTAGGCATCTTTACTGATATACCAGTATCATCTCTGATAAACACGAGAGTATGAACAATATTTCGAGATCACTTCCAAGTTCATTGATTCATCAGATTGAATGGTATTGTTATACTCAAATGATTAAGATATTTAGAATGTTAATAGTTAAGATCATGAATCCATTGAAGCTAGACCATTATGAAAGACCTGAAAGCACTGGATGGCCGTTTCGTCCTACTGTGGGACTCTTCAACAGTGCGCATCAACGATCCTGCTGCGCAAGATTTGAACCCAGGATATTTAGAATGATTGTAAAATGTTCACATTGTACTATCAAAGTTTTAAATATAATAATCTTGTAAAGTCCTGTAATCAGTTATGTATTTTGATATAAGGTAGATGGATCATCCATTATAGTTATACTATGTATATATGTGTTGATTGTTTTCAATGATGCATATACTACTTATAAATTGAGTAATGCAATACCTAAGAGTAAGCTAGTTATTTCGATAAACGAACTAACATTACATTATTTAACAAATAAAACCTTTTTAAATCTCTTAATGAACAAACTAAGTCATTGTTTGATCTAACCATTGTTAAACTTATGGGGTCTCATTATTAAGAGCATTGAAATGAATGAATAGAATATTCAATGAATTAAATGATTGAATCTTTTATTCTGACCATTACACATATTACATAAGAGGTCTGGTCAAAATATCAAAATATTTGAGACGAACAGTACTGGGTTCGAGTCCCAAAAAAAAGAATCATCAACTCCGGGGTACAGACACATCCAGCTAACGAATCTCAAATGGGAGGAAACGCGTGTCAAACTGAATTCCACTCCTAACCACTATCCATCTTTGCTCAAAAAGCTTATGACTTAAGGCTATATCGAGGCAATTCGTACAGGATGCATATATGCCAACATGAGACTGATCAATTGTAGTCCGAAAGAACAATAGGACGATACAAGTTAAACAACACCATGTGAATTAAGACACCACCTTCAAATATGTAAAACTACTATAATAAATTTTCTTATTTTTGATTTATTCACATAAAATACTTATACAATCAAATTTAATTGTATTTGTGGGGGGGGGCATAAAACATTGATTTATAATTCTAGTATTGGAACTCAAAAATAAATTCAGCTGATGAGTTCAAATACTTGGACAAAACATACTCCCTAGATTCTACTACTCATTACAATCTATCTATATCATTTATTAGTAGTAGTTTTGTATTTACTTGTTTAACTATTAGGATATAATCGATAATAGGAAACATTTAATCCATTAAAGGGTATATAGTTTGATTAGTTAGTTTATATTACTAAAGTACAATTATATATTTCATAGAATTACTTGAAAACAAACAGAACAATTCAATGTTAAACATGAATCAGTCTTATAACAATATTAGTGCTAATAATGAACTAGGCAATAATACTATCATATAGCTTGCTTACCTCTGGTATAACAACTCCTTGTATAGATATAACTAATAATAAATTACTGAATAATAACAATGAAATAATTTGTGCCAAATTGAATGATCTCATCTTCATCTTCGTCTTCATCATCATCATCATCATCATTGTCATCATTATCATGAATGAATGAATGAATGAAGAAAGAGTTATCTATGAAGAAAAAACTTCATTCCTATTCAGCATTTTATCCTATTCCAATGTAAACTGTCCTATATCTTTATTGGTTATAACAGATTAATAAACAAACAAACATTCATTGTGATTGAGTAGAAAAAAAATAACTGTATTACATAGATATTTCTTTATGTAGGTAGGTAGGTAGGTAGGTAGGTAGGTAGGTAGGTAGGTAGGTAGGTAGGTAGGTAGGTAGGTAGGTAGGTAGGTAGGTAGGTAGGTAGGTAGGTAGGTAGGTAGGTAGGTAGGTAGGGATGGAGAAGAATGTTTTTTCTCTTTAAACATAATTAACCAATCCAAAATAAATCCATTTTATTATCGTCCTCATTAAAACTGATAATATGTATCAGAACTTATTTGATAGATGAAGTCTATGCAAAACTGAAATGAACAATTATAACTATGAAAAATTTTTTGAAGCACTGGATGTTAGGGGCGGCCAAACCAAAATGTGGCATCAGTCCTTAAAATCACTTACTTCTATTCTAAGTTATGTTCGTAGATGCAGACTACCTGGTTGGGGTCCGCGTGACTATCGTAGCTAATAGTTAGAGACTCTTGGTGACATGGCTCAGAATCGATCACAATGGTGTCGGTGTATACACTCTCTGTCTTCCATTAAACTGAGAGATTAAATTCACTTCATATATTTCTTTCTACGAACTAATTCTTTCTTTCTGTACTATCTTCTTATATGCAATCTTTCCTTTATATATTACCACCATTGACTTAACCACTCTTATGAATCCGGTGTTCATCTTGTAGTGCTAATGCGGTATGGCAACTTGGACCGATGCATATATGTGTCTGGTCCTACGTTGTAGCTGACTGACTAACTGAGTTGTAGGAAATTAAATTGTAAAGGTTTAGAACAAACAACGGAAGGTCGGAGTGTGTGAAATATTCCCACATTATCCTGGTGCATTACAAAAAAAATTTACAACTGATAACAACAATTTGTTTCTCGTAGTGATGGACTGGATCATGAAGAGGTCAATATCTGGGACGAAGCATGTAATAGAGTGGACAGCTAGGATGCAGCTGGATGACCTATTCTTGCACACACGCAACAACAAATTCAGAAGACGACCAGTGTAGCAGTAGCCTTAACATACACAAAGGGAAAAGCAAGATCCTCCGATACAACACAGCATGCAACAATCGAATCACACTTGACGGAAAAGATTTGGAAGATGTAAAAACTTTTAGCAACACCAAGGTCAGAATTTCAAATACAAATGTCAACACAGTTCTACTGTATGGGGTGGAAACTTGGAGAACTATAAAAGCCATCATCCCGAAGATACAAGGGTTTATTAACAGCTGTCCACCCAAAATACTTCGGATCCGTTGGCCTGACACTATCAGCAACAACCTACTGTGGGAGAGAACAAACCAGATCCCAGCGGAGGAAGAAATCAGGAAGGAAGGCCGAGAACAGAGTGGGTTGGAAAATGCTGGTCGGCCGCCTATGCTATATTGGAAGTAACAGGCGTAAGTAAGTAAGACAACAACAATTATATCACAGTTCAGTAGTTGAATGTAGGGACAAATAATTAGATTAGTGTTATAATTGAGCCCAATGATAACAGTTTCATAGTGATAGTTTAATTTTCTACCTTATTCCTAGTTTATTATTTTTATTATCTTTATTCATTATTTATATTTTTGCTACAATATAGAATTCACAACATAAAGTATTTCAACAAGTTTCCCATTTCTTATTTCGTGGTCGATCCTGACGGGAACATATTGAGTGATCGCCAGTCAGATGTTAGTAGTCCAGTCAATCAGCATGTAAACTATGTACATTCTTTTCGTTGAATATGGCCAGCAACTACAATATCCCTGATTTGGCCTTTTGTAAGTTGTACAACGAAAGGTTGTACACTTTACAAAAACGCATGCTTGTTGAAATATCTAGATCGATGGTAGGAACAAGTAGCTCAAATGTTTAAACATGCCGCCATAAACATTTGTTATAGCTTATTAATTACCAACATGACTCTAACAAAATAACATTCACTTGGATATTTTAGTTATGTACGCAGGAGAGTAAATCGTTTAAAAATCTTTTATTTGGTTCTTATCATCATTATTAATGGTATTTCGTTAAACTTCACTGTGATATAGATATTCGATCAGGATTGTATATGCTCATGTGTGTGAATGTGTGTATATCTGTTACCTATTTACTGGTTATCAATATGAAAGATATCGAATATAGCGAACAGACAGAAGTTAGAGATATTCATTAAAAAAGGAAGGACATTGGAACATGTTTCTTTTTAGTATAGAGCTGCTACACAGTTGTGAACATCCAAACTAGTTCTTAAACGATGCTATAATCTTACTTTTTTTTGACTTACTTATTTATGCCTACTACTCCATGTGGAGGAGCATACGCTGCTCACCAGCACTCTCTGTCTAACACCGTTCTGGGCAATCCTTTCCAGTTGTTATTCATCCTTTTCATATCTGCTTCTATTTCCCGAAGTATTGTGTTCTTAAGCCTTCTTCTTTTCCGTTTTCTTATCAGGATTCCATGTTAGAGCTTGCTCATGATGCAGTTTTTCATGGTTTCCTCAATATGTGTCCTATCCAATTTTAGTGTCCTTTCATAATTTCCTCTCCACCTGAAAGATGGTTTGTTCTCTTCCACAGAATGATGTTACTGATGGTATACAGTCAAAGGATATTAAGTATCTTGGATAAATAATTAATTATAAATACTTATACCTTTTTGATGGTAGTTGTATTAGTTCTTCAAGTTTCAGCTCTATATAGTAGAACTATCTTGACGTTTGTATTGAAAATTGTGACTTTGATATTAATTGTTAGTTATTTTTGAATTCCATATGTTTTTCAATTGTAGGAATATGGCCCTTACTTTGGCAATCCTCACCTTTACGTCTGCCTCTAATCCTCATTATTCATTATTCGATGCGAAACTTAAAGGTTAGATACATATCTATATCCTAGTTGGCCCCCAAATGCCCTGGTACGGCCGAGAGTGAGGAGAGTCCACTCTCCCTCTCCAAATGCTCTCACATGGCCACGCGTACATAGCCCCTGTCAGAGAAGTCCTACTCACTGCCTTCTCGTGGCAGGGGTGTTGTTTACGAAAATGAGAGGACGAAAAGCGAATGTCCGGCACTTTAACCGGATCCCAAATCAATGGTGCACATGGGCTCCAGTATCCTGAAGGAACAAATGGCGTATGAACCAATCGTTGGTCACCGGCTACCATCGGACTGCATCTCCTTACGATGCTCAACTGCCTTGTGGATCAGACCTTCAGGTCGAAGGCTCGGGGTGTGGCCCCCTAATAAAACCACCTGCTTCGGTTTGGGAACCCTGGCAGTATCACAGCCCTCACATATATCCAATAAGATCTGTGTGGCGCATATGTATTTAGTGCCTTCTTGTACCAATATCTATGTGTTAAAATAAATAAATAAATAAATAAATAAATAATATCCTAGTTGAAGCTTCTTAATATTAACTGTTTAATAATTACTGATATTTATTTGTAATGGAATCAATCCTAATAATTTAATCTATTCAAATGATAGATTTATATCGTAATAGTAGTTTTTCCCACCACCACCACTACCACGCCCCCCAACTCAGTCAAAGTTCATTACTTATCCACACACACTAAGAAGGGATAATTTCAATCGAATTGACCAAACTCAACTACTAGTAATCTTTAGTTATAATTTATTATTATTATAAAAAAAAAACAATCAAAAAATAAAAAGAACAAGATTGAAATATATCATTTCTTGGATGATTCCTTATTTTCCTTGTTTCTGTTCTCATCATTTGTTTCATATAAGAAACAAATGAATATATATATATATATGGGTTCACTTATATACTTGGTTAAGTTCAAGCTGGGATTATACAAGAATAAATATATATTAATCATTATACTTAAATCATTTCATTAAGTCTCTTTAATTGAAGAATATAACATTCTATCAATCTTATATATATATATTATATTATAGGTAAGAAAGTTGATGAACTTATTTATACTACTTAATATGTAATGAATTGATTAGAAATTTTCAACTCAAAAACAATCATATTCCAAAAGCGGTAAGTTTGATACCCGTAAGTGGGATCATGAATGTGCACAAATATGGAGTATTATAATAAGATAAAATGGTCGTCTAGTAATTTCAGGGTCTTCATGTTAATCTAACATTAATCAATTCATCATCTTAATCAGAAAAAAAAATTCTGTTTTTTATTTTATTCGTGTAAAATATTTTATATGAGATCTTTGTAATGGTGTTGAAGATCTTCTAGAACTGTCAACATTGATACAGAACTTGAGTATTTTTTTTTCTTTTTTTTTACAACTGCTTAAAAGGTTAAAGTTGTTTTTTTTTTTCTATTGCGTTTGATAAATTTAAATTAATCATATATACTACTTATTATGATCGTCATCCATATAATATAATTCGGTTAGCTTTAATGATTTGAATCGCTTATTGGTTAGACATTATTCGGAGTTGAATGTATATGCAGGTTTAATACTTTCACTCCAAAAGACTGGAAAGAAGGACTTCTAGTCAAAATACCAAAGAAAGGCGATCTCAGCAACTGTGACAACTACAGGGGAATCACTCTTCTTTCAATACCAGAAAAAGTCTTCAACAGGGTATTGTTAAACAGGATGAAGGACTGTGTAGACGCCCAACTTCAAGACCAACAGGCAGGATTCCGTAAGGATAGATAGTGCACAGACCAAATCGCAACTCTACGGATCATTGTGGAACAATCAATTGAATGGAATTCATCACTCTATATCAACTTCATCGACTACGAAAAAGCATTTGATAGCGTGGACAGAACAACCCCATGGAAGCTTCTTCGACACTACGGCGTGCCTGAGAAGATAGTCAATATCATACAG